AAGTCTACTGCTATTGCTATTGCTATTGCTTTGTTATTTGAATGCCACCTAGTGGTTATTTTGCAGTTATATTTATATATATATGCACTTGGTTAGTTTTCTATATTTTGCTGCTTTTATGTCCTTTTTTTGGTGGAAGCCAGGGTCATTTGGAGTCAGGACACATCCAAATTGAATTAAATCAATCAATAAATTTAGCTGATGAACAGGTCTGCTTGTAATTCTATTCAGCACACTTGCTGTGTGGCATTTTGCAAAACATTGTTTTTTGTGAAATCAAGTTATACTGTAGGTAGAAGATTTCCACGTTCTTCAAAGAAAGTTCCTCGAATCAGGATGAGGCAAAATTAATCTGTGAATTCTGTGGTGATTGAATGACTGAAGAAGACAGAAAAAACAAGGTAAAGATAAACAAGAAGGGACGCGGTGGCTCAGTGGTTAAGATGCTAAGCTTGTCAATCAGAAAGGTTGGCAGTTCGGCGGTTCAAATCCCTAGTGCCGCATAATGGAGTGAGCTCCCATTACTTGTCCCAGCTTCTGCACACCTAGCCATTCAAAAGCATGCAAAAATGCAAGTAGAAAAATAGGGACCAACTTTGGTGGGAAGGTAACAGTGTTCCGTGCACCTTTGTCGTTTAGTCATGCAGACCACATGACCACGGAGAATGTCTTCGGACAGTGCTGGCTCTTCAGCTTTGAAATGGAGATGAGCACTGCCCCCTAGAGTCGGGAATGACTAGAACATATGTGCAAGGGGAACCTTTACCAGAAAAAACAAGAAGGAAAGTTGTGTATGTGTGACAGCAGGGGAGTCTCAGATCACTATCCAAGTAAATGAAGGCATCCATGAACACAGACACACAATCAAGTGTTCTTACCGAGAATTAAAACAGCTCAGCTTGAATAGTTTAGAGTCCTCTATCATGACTCCGTACCCAGCACAGATAATGGCACCAAGCTTGGTTGCTCTCCATGTGTTAAGCAAGATCAATTCAATTTCCTTCCCAAAATATCTCTGCAAAAGAAACTTGAAAAGCAGAACATTCCCTAACATTGTATTCCCTGAGAAATTCAATGCCCTAAAGAGATTTGAGGCGAAAAAGGGGTTAATATACATAAATTACAGAATGAGGCAACTGGGAGGCTGTAACTTTTTTCACTTCCTCTTTCGGTTCCTATCAGCCGCTGTATACACAGCAAAACTCATAGCAGAAATTCCAACGGGGAAGGTTTTCGGGAAGAGGGGAAGGAAATTGGGCAGGAGAGAAAAGGGGACTTGGGAACGAGAGTGTCTTGGAGTTTCAACTGCAGCTTAGAGATTTGTTATTGAAAGTGATCAAAAGAGCAGAACAAGATCTCGGAAAGAGTTGAAAAGAAGGAATTTTGAAACACTTCCCCATTCACTTTTTCAAGATCTTCCATCCAATATTGAGATGGATGTTGGATGTTACCTCCAACGGATTGGGTTCCAATGTCCCTCTGCTGGCCCTTCTTTGGAGACCCTCAAGTGCATCCATCGTTCCCACCTCTTCTCCATACCCTTTGAGAGCCTCAGCATCCACTGCAAAGAGCCCATCCACCTGGAATTGCCTCGTTTATATGAGAAGATTGTCCAAAACCAGCGGGGTGGATTTTGTTATGAACTGAATGGCCTTTTTCAGTGGTTGTTGCGAGCATTAGGATTTCACACCAAAATCTTAGCCACACATGTCTGCAACCACTTCATGCAGTGTTATGGTCCTCCGTTGGACCACTTGGTCATTTTGGTAGACTTGGATGGACAGCAGTTCCTGTGTGATGTTGGGTTCGGAGAAGGTTTCCTGGAACTGTTAGATCTGAAGTCAGAGGTGAAACAAGTTCAAGAAGGAGGTATATTCTGGGAAGCGGGGCTTCACATCACAGTGTGAAGACGAACTTTCCAGCTTCTCCGGAATGGCTGTCTAATTCGGATCAGCTGGATGGTTCTTTCTGGACCTAAGCTGTCCCAAAGAGACAGTGAAAGGTAGGGGGATATCCAGTGGTCCCAGAGACACCCGCAAAGTCTCTGGTGACCCGGAAAAAGCCCCCTTT